TGTATGGCGTGCCATCGTTGCTTCTGATTTTCGGGGATATGATATGATTTGTGTGATGTCATCGGCAAAGATAATGTGTTCGCTATGTTGCGTTGGTTTAGGTAAGTTGCTGTATATATGGAGAATAGTGTTGGGGATAGGACGTCTCCCTGGGGAACTCCGCTTTCTAGGTCGAAGGGTGGACCTAAATGGTTGCCAATTTGTAGCTGTGCTGTCCTGTTTTGAAGGTAGTTACATAGGATTCCTGAGGGGCTTGTTTGATCTGTAATTCTCTTAATCACTGCGTAATCAAATGATCGTCACCTGAAATAAGAAGCTTGTACTGTCCTTACTTGGGAGATACAATAATAATGCTATCAAGACTTTGGTAATGGAGCGGGAAAAAAAGATGGCTAGAATGAGTGAGTAATTCAGAGACAGAGGAAGATTTAAAGACCATGGTGTTAGTTAGAAGGACGGGGTGAAGGACACACTGGGAATCTATAAGTCAGGTGGGTGGGTGGACCTCCAGGGAGCAGCAGTGGGCGTGACCGAACGGGGAAGAAGTCGAGTGATTTTGGGAGGAAGAACGTATGGGTGATGATCGCGTGTGTGAAGTGACTGGGATAAAAAGTGTGGACATTTGAGGTAACAATACATATATTGCAGCAATGAGAATGATTGAATGATAGTGAATGAATAGAGAATAATAATAATAATAATAATAATAATAATAATAATAATAATAATAATAATAATAATAATAATAATAATAATAATAATAATAATAATAATAATTAACAGTTTATTGAAAGAGCTTGGCAGCCAGAAGGCTGAAAATATACAGTTACATATTTGGGGAATGGGTTACGAATTACAAATAATATACAAGTAACATAAGTGATACAAATAAGATATATAATAACTAGATGGGGAAAAAGCTCAAACCACAGTGCATTTTAAATATAAGACAGTGCAAGAAGTAGTATTTACTGGGAGTGAATACACTGGTTTATTACAAGTTATTGATAATTTTTACAATGGTTGGGACTGGGCTGTTCTTATAGCGATCAGTTCGTGCACGCATGAGCTGGATGCGGTTGTGGTGTCGAACAGCAATTCTCGGGCTAGGGATCTCAGGTGGTAGTAGGAGCCGGTGTGTGTGTGTGTGTGTGTGTGTGTTTCATTCGTCACCTACAGTAGGAAAATACTTGTAAGCATAAAGTCGTATATTAATACAGTATTATAATAATGATCTCCCCGCTGCAGGAAGATGGTGGCGGTGGCGTGGGCCGTGGTGGGAGGTCCTCGCACTTTACACTTCTTCTTCGCCCAGCTGGCTGTGAGTACTTCCTCCTCGTCTTGTAGTCTACTATCTATCCCTCCTTCCTTTCCCTTATTCTCTCCCTTCCCTGTCCTCTTTCCTTTCTTTCCTTTTCCCCTCTCCATTTCTTCCTTTCACCTTCTCTCCCTCCCTTCTCACCATTTTCCTGCCTATTTTTCCCTCCTCTCTCCTCTCTCCATCCCTTCTTCTCATCTTCCTGTTGATCCTCCCCTCCCCTTCTCTTTCCTCCCTCTTGCTAAGTTATGTTACCCATGACCCTCTATATAATGCTCTGGTGGCATCACGGGGTCATCACTGTCTCGATACTTTGGTTATTGACGACTATTTCACGCTGATTTCTTCATCTTTCTATTGAACTTGAAGATTTTGTTTACATACAGCTAGGACCAAGAAGACACACAAAATCTGTTAACACACTTTAGGTTTGTTTTGTTTTGGCGGGAATTTTTTTTTTCTGTGACCTCCAACAAAGGTTTGATAATTTACCATCTTCTGCTATTCAATTCACTGTGATGGTTGATGATAATCTTACTCAACATTGTATTAGGGATGTCTCGTTACCTTCTGTTATTCAATGTTAAGAAAAAGACAAACCGGGAATCCTTTATTAGCTTAAAATATATTATGTATGGTGCAGGAACTGGCACGAGACCCCGAGGACCCCATGAGGCTAGGGGACGACTTCCTTTTCACCCTGGCGTTGAGGAGTCTAGTGGACCCCGGCCACCATGCCCGACACAACCTTCCTCACGACTTCTTCCTTCGTCGGGAGAACCAGATGGTGTATGAGGAGGTGAGGAGAAATACAGCACCACGGTATACACTTACAGTCATGTATGAATAAGATATACATGTACATCTCTGTGTATGGTTCTATATTATGAAGATTTTATATACACGTTTCAGCCAAATATGTGTTCCTTCAGTATTTCTTATAATGTATTTATATGCTTCAACAACTAAGGTTTTTCAACATCTAGTACAAATCACTTTATACACTAGACAATAACAACTAAAACTTAAAAGATATAAAACTAATATGTCACTGAGTTGTAAATATATAACTTATGCTTATGAGGTTATCAGTATGATGACGATGAGGCAATTTACACCCCCACCACACGACATTATTAACGTGTTGTGTTGGGGCAGCTGGTGGACTACTTGTTACAACAGACGCCCCCACCGGTGTCAGGAGTGGCGGCGCTGCTGGAGGGGCTGAAGCAGGTGTCGCCGCAGTTGTATGAGCGACTTCTGCGCAAGTGTGGTCCCTACCTCTCCCCCGAGGCCGCCTGCGACCGAGGGGACCACGCCGAGGTCAGTCACCCTCATGTCATCTGATTTGACCGAACCTAACCTAACCTCACCTAACCTAAATTAAGCTATAAACTAAACCATAAACTAAACTGAACTAAACTAATCTGTGTAGCGGAAGTACCACAGGAAATCATATCATGTACAGTCAAGGTCAAAAGCAGCATCAACCCCTAATGAGATGAAACATCATGGTAAGTCAGAATACACCCGTACTTTAAGGCGCTACAGCATCAACCATTTTCTTGAAGAGGGACTCCTACGTCCCACGTGTGCAATCAACCACGAGGAGCGTTGATTACACACCTGGACTTGGCTATTTTAATCACATACACCCAATACTGGGGAGATGAATGTGTCTATGTAACCACTAGAACTCCCGGTCCCAGCGTGTGACTCTTCATTCACTCGGTCTGCACTCAGTTGGCTTACTCCCAGTACTTCATGGACAGGAAGAGAGCGACCGTCAGCCCGCCTACTTAGGCCAGCTCAAGAGTACAACCAGGTGAACCCTGCCCAGCTGAGGGAGGGGTTCTACTTTCCCGTTAGTAAGAGTTTTCACTGACTGGCTGAGGAGATGTGTGGGTGGTTCTTGTGGTGTTGTATGAACCTAGGTGGGGAGAACCAGATCGACCACAACAGAGCTCTGCGGCCAGTCACGGTAGTTTGGTAAATAGGGACACCTGTCTGCACGCCGACCGGGTGGGTATCCAGCCCGTGAGCAGCCAGCTATGTCTTCCAAACCACCATCACCACCAACCTGCTGACGTTATTTTAGGAAAGTCTTCGAGGTAGCAGATAATGACGAAAATTACGATGTTATTTACTTAGGCTTTAGCGTTTGACAGAGTACCGCATCAGAAACTTCTGAGAAAAGTTAAGGCTCATGGTATCGAGGGGAAAGGTTTAAATTGGATAAAATCATGGCTCACCGATAGAACACAAAGGGTCAGCGTAGATGGTGTTAAATCTGCGTGGGGCTGTGTAACCAGTGGGGTTCCCCAGGGGTCAGCAATGGGCCCACTCTTCTTCATAATTTACATACACGATCTAGATACTGGGATCAGCAGTGACATAAGCAAGTTTGCGGATGACATCAAAATAGGGCGGCAGATTAATTCAGGGCAGGATGCAAATGCACTACAGGAGGATTTAAATAAACTGCAGGAATGGTCAGAAAAATGGCAAATGAAATTCAACACCAGCAAGTGCAACTTCCTTAATATTGGAAGAACAAATACTGTCAATGTATACAGCCTTAACAACATCAATCTGGAGAAGTCGACTTGTGAAAGAGACTTGGGGGTACTTGTAAGCCTGGACCTACGGCCTAGAAAACAGTGCGTTAATGTTCGAAATAAGGCAAACAGAGTATTAGGTTTATATCTAAAAGTGTAAGTAATAAGAGTGCGGAGGTCATATTGCAACTATATCTTGCACTGGTCAGGCCGCACCTCGATTGTGCTGTTCAGTTCTGGTGCCCTTATTAAAGAATGGATATCAATTCACTGGAGTCGGTGCAGCGAAGAATGACGAAAATGATTCCAGGACTTAGAAACCTTCCATATCAAGATAGATTAAAGAAATTAAACTTGCATTCCCTAGAAAGACAGAGAGTGCGGGGAGATTTGGAAGAAGTATTTAAGTGGGTGAAAGGAATCAATAAAGGAGATATAGATAAAGTTCTTATAATCTCCGAGCAGGATAGGACTCGAAGCATCGGATTTCAGTTGGATAAGTTTAGGTTTACGAGGGAGATAGGAAGGAACTGGTTCATAAATAGGGTGGTAGACGAGTGGGACAAGCTTAGCAATTTTGTAGTAAGTGCTGGAATGCTGGAAAGTTTTAAGGGGAGGCTAGATAGAATCATGGACGATAGAAAGTGGTTGTAACTCTAGACAGGAGCTGCCATGCACAGGCCAACAGGCCTATTGCAGACTCCTTACTTTCATATGTAACCATCAACCCCCAACCAAGTGGGGTCTCGCTACCCTGCAAAAGGAGTACTTTGTTAACTACTGTTAAATTCTTCTCCGCCCTATCTAAACACTGCACGAGATCGAATAGAGGACTTACAATGCTTGCAACAAGGATGAACACGCGGGAAGGGACAAGGCCACGTGGTCGTTTTCCTTGGCGGAACGCATATACAGACGTCTGTCTGGGTCAGTGACCTTGACTTACTGAGGCTCGGTCAACGCCTGCATCCCTCAGGGCGCTCGCCTGCCCCTCTACATGAGACGTCATCTTTCGCCTATTTCTAATACTTTCTTTGGGACACACATAACATATTTAAAACTGGGAAACTATCCACAATAACTTTCAATTTTATAATTGTCCCTTAACTTCATGAATCATGTCTACGTTAATTCGATGAAGTACATTTAAATTTCTATGGGCCTAGTTCAAAATGCGTCCACCTCCTGACTGAGGGCATTGCTTGGAGGATTTGTTTTAACTCGCCACGAGGCATGAGTGTTTCAGCCTGGACTACTTATGTTTCCCTGTTCGGCAGATCGGTCAGTTTTGTTCTAACGTCTCTAAATATCGCATTACAATTTCTGAATATTACTTACAATCGATCCCCCCTAAAAAAAAAGACAGCACTGTCCTCATGTGCTTAAGCCTCTCTCTGTCTATGTAATTCAGTTGCCTCTGAAAATGTCTTGAATAAAGACGAAAGTGATTATATATATATATATATCAGCCAGGAATGAACCTCGACCTACCGGCCTATGGGTCTGGGATTCCTGGCTGGTCAGGTCGTTGATTATATGTCCAAAGTCTGCAGTTATTATTTTAATTTAAAATGAAGTATATATATATATATATATATATATATATATATATATATATATATATATATATATATATATATATATATATATATATGTGTGTGTGTGTGTGTGTCTGTATTGCAGACTATGAAGTGATGAATGTGTGTTGCAGACTATGACAGGTGTTGAGTGTGTGTTGCAGGCTGTGGGGTGTTGCAAACTGTGACAAGTGTTGAGTGTGTGTTGCAAACTGTGACAGATATTGAGTGTGTGTTGCAAACTGTGACAGATATTGAGTGTGTGTTGCAGACTGTGAGATGTTGCAGACTATGGCAGGTGTTGAGTGTGTGTTGCAGACTATGCCAGGTGTTGAGTTGTGTTGCAGGCTGTGAGGTTGCTGCGGGGTGTGGCTGGGTTTACTTGTCGGCCTCAGGACTACGTGGCATCTCTCAGGTCCTGCTTCGCCAACGATAATGTGGATGTATTGGTCGCTGCCATGGACACCCTCGCCTGCATCGACTGTAGCGTTCAGGTGAGTCTCGACACTACTACTACGACTACTGCTATTACCACCACCACTATTACTACTTTTTTTTTTTTTTTAACGTGGCCTCCAGCCTCCCCCAATAGCCACACCTTCGCCACCATTTATTTACCTTAATATTAAATATCCTAATACATAAGAAGCTATCCTATCTGTGTTAAATTAGTTGAGCCGCAGATCTATGCGGCATTCAGTGACCGTAGCCTCATAGTCAATATATCTGCAGTGCTGTCTGAGTAGGGCAGAAGCTCTCGTTCTCTGAGGTAAGAGCAAAGTTGACTGAAGGAGGGAAGACAGTTTATATCTCATTCCAGGCTAACATAACTTCTAGTTGCTGCTTTCTGTTCGGAGATCAACTCCGCGAGTCTGGCGTGAAACATCATCTTTGCACTTAGCCCATCCACCAGAGTAGTTGTAACAAAGAGGAGTGAAGCTGCCTTGATCAACATTTTGAATTCTCTCCCCATATGCCCTTCTCTTGTCGTTCTCGTTCCTCCTATGTGCAGCATCGAGAGCTAGGTTACGGTGACAAACGGCCATGGGATAAAAAATCCTGATGTCGAAGAAAGCACGCTGTCCCCGCGTCCAGAATCCTCGAGCACTGACGTCCACACGGGCTTCGTTAGATGTGTTTGAAGTCCTGTGTTGGAAGATCTTGCCATCCAGTGGAAGGAGGGTCGGTTCTACCATGACGTCCCGGCAGATTTCCTTCAACATGTTTGCTGTGAGATCCCTTACCTCGTCATGCCTCATGCATATGAAGCCCCCCTTCTTGCAGACCATGGCGTGATCGCCATCATAGGAAGAGCCACACACGCATTGGGAGGGCAAACCATCTACTGGCCCTTACCTTAGAGCAATGGCATCTGTAAATTCTTGTTTGTTAAGGCTGAAACCATTTGCCCTTATCGGTAACGTAGTTAACCAGTTCGAGGCGCCCACCTCCTGCGCTATAGCTACTTTTTTTGTCAAATTTTCTGGAACCTGCAGCAAAAGTTGCTGCAACATGTCATTTTGGCAGTGCTGCCGATCTGTTGTAATGGACCTACGGATCTTATTTACTTCGCTGGTGTCCACTTCCCCTGTTGCATTCTGGGCTATTATGTGGTCAGTGAGGGCTGCCGTGAGCTTAAGTGAATTTTGATGTTCAGAGTCAGCAATCTCCTCTGGATTAGTTAGTCCCATCCCTCCCAGTCTTGGTGCAAGTGCAAGAAGTGTTCTTTCTGCTAGGGTTAAGTCAGGGTGTTTCCTGGCACTAGTTTGGGAATGAACTTGACACTGATTGCTTTTTCCAAAGGGCAGGAGGAGAGTCCGGATCTCGGACGGTACGTGATTGTAGTTCTAACGATGTTATTACTACTACTACCATTAATACTTTTGTTTAATGGCCTCTTCCAGCCTCCCCCAATAGCCACACCTTTCGCCAATTATTTAATTACCTTATTATTAAATATCTTGAATATATAGTTAGGCTTAATCTTATCTGAAAGTAAATTAGTTGAGCCAGAACCATGCATTCCAGCAGCCCTGCAGTCAATATTCAGCAGAAGTTGTCGGAGCTAAAGGAAGCCTCGTTCCCCCGAGGTAGTAGTTGACTGGAAGGAGAAGAGAGAAAATGATTAATGACATCTCATCCAGGTTAACATAACTTTGGCTGCTGTTTCTGTTCGAGATCAACTCATGAGTTCAAGCAGAACATCTTGTACCCTAAGTCTATCCCACCAGAGGTTGTGAACACTAGAGGAGTGAAGCTGCCTTGATCAACGTTTTGAATTCTCTCCCCATATGCCCTTCTCTTGTCGTTCTCATTCCTCCTATGTGCAGCATCGAGAGCTAGGTTACGGTGACTTTCGGCCATGGGATCAAAAATCCTGATGCCGAAGAAAGCTCGCTGTCCCCGCGTCCAGAATCCTCGAGCACTGACGTCCACACGGGCTTCGTTAGATGTGTTTGAAGTCCTGTGTTGGAAGATCACGCCATCCAATGGAAGGAGGGTCGGTTCTACCATGACGTCCCGGCAGATTTCCTTCAACATATTTGCTGTGAGATCTCTTACTTCGTCATGCCTCATGCATATGAAGCCCCCCTTCTTGCACACCATGGCGTGATCGCCATCATAGGAAGAGCCACACACGCATTGGGAGGGCAAACCTTTTACTGGCCGACCGTACCTTAGAGCAATGGCATCTGTAAATTCTTGTTTATTAAGACTGAAACCATTTGCCCTTATCGGTAACGTAGTTAACCAGTTCGAGGCGCCCACATCCTGCGCTATAGCTACTTTTTTTTCAAATTTTCTGGAACCTGCATCAATAGTTGCTGCAACTTATCATTTTGGCAGTGCTGTCGATCTGTCGTAATGGACACTACTACTACCACCACCACCACGTTCAACACCACCACCACTACTACCACCACTATCACTTCCACCCTTCTACCATTAGCACCATCACTGCCACCACTCTCCCTACTACCCACCCAACAGTATACGTTTTCCTTACTTATACACCCACACTTCCAGCAGTTGAACGGAAATATTATACAGTATTTAAGATAGAATAATTGAATATAATCATACACCCGGTAGCCTCAGTCATTCAACTCTGACCGTTCATCCCAGGGCGTGACGGAACTACAGAAGCTGGGTCTGAATAGTCCCTCGGACCCCGAAATCCGCATCGCTGCCTACCGGGGCCTCGTCCACTGTATCCCCGTACAGCCCCAACTACTGAACACCGTCGCCAAGGCTCTCAACTCTGAAGATGTCGACTATTCTCCTCAAGGTAGATGTTGTCTGTGATGTTTGTTAATGTAAGGTGTGCAAGGTGTCACTTGAAGGAAAGATATGCTAGTTATCGACAATGTGTACCGCATGTTATACATTTTTCACTCATGCTTTCTGTTATTGGACGTGAAGTTCGTCAGGACAAAAATTTAACTAGATATTAAACTACCCTAATGCTGACACACCACAAAATGTTCACAATTTATTCAACAGTTGCGTCGTATGTGTGGAGTCACGTGCAGTCCGTGTTGTCATCAGACGACCCCACCCTGATGAACCTGCGTGACTTGCTGACCACCGCCGACATTTCTCAGGTGCCGGACCCGGTGTGGTATGACCCAAGACAACACTCACGACACATGGCCCGCACGGTGCACCTGGACGCCCGCACAGCCCTCACCCTGGCTGGGGACTTAGTGTGGGGCAGGTACTCCCCCGCACCCAGGGCTCTCTACCTCAACCTCGCCCTCCACCACGACGGACACACTCACCAGATGGCGCAGGTGATGACCATCAACAATATTTCACCAAGTTGTGTTTCTATATGAGGTGAGGAGGATGAATAAGATGTCCTCCTCATTCACCCCTTGAGATTGCATTTAAAGATTTTGGGGGACCTTTATCTACTGTTGCTACATGTTTGCACACTAGTGATGATAGGTTGATGTTCATCCATAAGTGGGTGAGTTATTTTGTTACTTATGTAGTGATAAGTTGAGGTTCATGCATAGATGAATAACTCAGGTTGTCGTATCTGGTGCAGGTGGTGGTGCGGGTGACGGGGCTGGAGGCGATGTTGTTGAGTATCCCCGGGGTGGAGCATCTGATGGAGGCCTCCACCGTCGCTGCCGCAAACCTCTGGTCCACCTTGACGCGCCTCGCCCGTCCCTCCCTCAGGAACAAGAGGGAGATCTCCCACGACCAGATCGTTGAGTTCATCCAGCAGGTGAGACCTAGTACCAAGTTAGCTGTAACTCTTTATTGTCCAGTTATTACGTTGAAGATGCAACATACTTCCTGTTGATGGTGCTGTTAACAGGAAATATTCTTGTAATTAATTTTGCTATGTCATTATCAACCCTGACTGAGTAACTGGCTGGTTAACTGACCGAGAGAATTTTCTAAGACTAGCCTCACTGACACAACTTATGGTCAGTACTTGGTTCCCTTTGTCGTTCTCTGACGCTGGTAATGACGGCCGCAGGTCATGTCGAGGATCCCTGTCGGGTACCGTATGGGGTCGTCCAGTCTGGAGGTGTCGCTACGCCTGCTGGGGACCCACGCCCTCCACGTCCGCCTCGCCAACTTCCGCTACTCCTCCCCCTTCAGCGCCCTCGCTGACATGCTCCAGCCGCCTCTCCATGCTGCGGTAAGTACTCTTGCTGCCTTCAGGGATCAGCTCAATTAGTTCAGAAGCATCACATGTGACTGCCTTCTATGTTTAATAGCCCCTAGTCACAACTTTTATTTTCTACTTTTATCCTCTTCGCCACTTGGGCGGTCGGTCACGTCTCTGCTACACACTGTTGGCAAATACCGGGCGTGATCTGGCTCCTGAAGGTATCTGTACCTGTGCCACTGTTGGTCAAGTCTTGCCTTAAAGGAGCTCTGACTCGGTGCCGTCACAAACACTCTCTTGCTGATTATTCCAAGAGTTTACAATTCTCATTCTGAAATAGTTTTCTCTCATAATTTCCTGGTCTTGTAGCTTCTTAAACCTTGAACTGTGACCCCTTGTGGGGTTGGCATCAATTAAGTCACCCTTGCCCGTCTATTGTATAAGATAGGCAGTTGCAGGCGTTCTAATCCCTTTGGGTAACTGAGGTGTTGCCGCAGTGCAAGAGACGTGCACACGTCGAGCACCTGGTATGTAGTGTCTCCCTGCCCACAGTTGGCGGTCTTTGCCCCGCTCTTGGACAACACCCTCACCATGGTCACCTCCTCAGGGGTGCCAGTTGCCCTCCGCCTGACTGGCGTCGGGGGCCTCCAGACGCTGGCAAACCACAACACTCGGCAGAACGGCGGCATCTTCAACCTCATGGCCAGGTGAGGCACTACCGCCTAACACTTCAGCTTTCATTCAGGGAAATCACTTGTTCACATACCACGTCTCTCAGTGCGTTCACCCACCTACCCGTAATCTTGAAGCTTTATTGAATTAAAGACCATAACCTTTACAGTTGTCGTATATACAGTGACAGATGTTGTTTATGTCCTCAGCGGCGGAATGTGGGTGGGGGCGCGGCTGGAGGTGGGGCAGCAGCGTGACGCAGCCCTCAACTCCCATCTCCTGTGGTCCTCAGACGTCCCCATCAACGCCGACTACGAGTATGAGGTCAAAGGCCAGACATGACTTAATCCTTCATAGTGCTTAGTGTTATGGTTAAGTTAAGTTAGGTTAGGTTAGGTTAGTACATAAGAGGATATCTTATTAGACAACCTTTTTTCTATTTACTCTTGAGGTCAAAATGGTTGAATCTGTGGCAGCAGAGGGAGGAGTCAGAGGGTGAGGACAGAGGGTGAAAGATGTCATACATACAGATGACTCAGGGAGGATCATGGACAGTGAGAGAGAGGATTGAGAAGTATGATGTGTAGGTTAATGTGGAAAAAACTAAGCTGATGAGAGTATTTACAAGAGGGGGGTGCGGGGGAGTTGTGGGACCTTGATCCATAAGCAGGTCTACAAGTGGCGAAGTTCAGGTACCTGGGAGCTTGGATGAGAAAGAGAGAGAGAGAGAGAGGAGACCATGATGTAGGACCTATACTGATTTATTTATCTCTTATAAGTAATCATGTATCAGTTTCATATACCCATTATTAAAAATCTATCAGAATATATTTGTTTCACACGAAGAAAAGTATATTATGATTTACATATGTGAAATTAATTTAGTTTAACTTTTTGTGTAAATATATGAATACAACACACTGCAACTAAGGGAAGACCTAAGGAAATTTCTGTATATCTAAACTGAACACAAATGACTGTATAGCTAAAAGCGGACATTACACAATTATGTCACTTGTAATGTATTTCAGGACCATAGAGGTAATATAAGACCATAAAGCAGAGAATAATTAACTAGGAACATGTACTGTCTGACCACGTAATTAATGTATGTGTATGTGTGTGTGTCAACAGGGTGAAGCGATCCAGGTGAGCTTCCGTGTCCCTGATGACTGGACGGGTCTACTGTGGCAGCGACGACGTGATACTTCCATAGTAGACAACACTCTTGAGCTGAGGTACTCTCTCTCTCTCTCTCTCTTTCTATATATATATATATATATATATATATATATATATATATATATATATATATATATATATATATATATATATATATATATATATATAAGCTTATTACCACTTTATCTTTATTCAAGACATCCAAGATGTCTTGAATAAAGAAAGGTACTCGTTGTTCTTATCTTCCCGTGTGATTTTATCAAGATTCATCTTATCCACGTTTTCATTGTGATTACATGATATATATATATATATATATATATATATATATATATATATATATATATATATATATATATATATATATATATATATTAATATATATATATATATATATATATATATATATATATATATATATATATATTAATATATATATATATATATATATATATATATATATATATATAATATATATATATATATATATATATATATATATATATATATATATATATATATATATATATAACTCTCTCAATCGTACATAACTATAGACTCAGTGCTGCATTCAGGTCTGGCACTAATTTCTGCACATCTTATATATTGTGAAAATCAATGTCATGGAAGAACATCTGAGTCCATAGATAGATTGATAGATAGAAAGATAGATAGATAGATAGAGAGGTGGATGGATGGATGGATATTCAGTAAAATCATCATATATAAGTTTACATTGATTCAGACAAAGCACACACGATTATAACTCCTTCACTATCACCAACAGAGTGACTCAAGACTGCCTGGGTTCTGGGGGACCTGTTGAGCTGTGCCTGGAAACCTGCACCAGCGAGAATGAGGCGTTAGGAGGATCTGTCAGAGGCCCCGACGGCTGGCTGGCATCTTACGCCCACTCCGTCACCTTACATTTACCTCCTGGCGAACCTATCATCATTACTACCTCCAACCCTAACAGTACGTGTCTTATTATCATTATTTCACCAGTTATCAGCATACAGTACTAGCCATTGGACGGGCGGTTGGTCTGTCTGGTGTTGTTAGTACAGGAGGAGACCAGAGTACTGTACTGTACCCGGAGGAAACCTGTGATATTTGGTGGTGATGGTCACACTGGATAACACGGGTTTATGCATTCTATCGAGGGTAATATTGTTACAAACCCTTTTCGCCGCTTACCAGCTTCCATCACTCTTGTCCCACCGGCCAGATCGTAAAGAGAAGCAGTAGATATCTCACAAGTGTCGTCAATTACCACTGGCTGTCCCGCCAGTCTCCAGTAATTTCCCGACGATCGGTATCAGTGTATAGACAAACAACAGGCAGGTAGATTTTCCACCGGGTCACGGAAACACACTTGTGCACTGTAGTCTGCTTTAATGACCACTAAGTCTTCACAATACTGTTCACAGGGTATGTTTTTACCACTGAACTTTTCACTTAGAATATATGCAGTCAGTACACTACCAGTGTGCAATTCTTTTAGTCTTTTCACTTTATATCGCTCACAACATTTCCACAATACTTGCACAACAATTATCTTCCGCCGTTACAAGGCTTATTATACTTCGCACTCTGTGCAGGAACGATCGGCTACTTCTAGGCAACTAGCGGGTATATACAGTGTATGTCTTGTCAGACTTCTACAACATTTTCGCGATATCAAGACGCTGGGGATCGGACCGGGACACGCTTGGAGAGTTCTCGAATGATCTAGGTTTACAATACGTAAGTAAATAACAAAAAATATAAAAATTATGCAATACATTCTATAATATTCGGTATTATTGCTTTTAATTGACTCACAACTTTTGGCTTCTTTTTTTTAATATACTTTTATCCTCTTCGCCACTGATCGGCTTGTTAGCCGCTTGGGCGATCGGTCACGTCTCTTTTCATGTATCTTCTTCACCAAAAGGTCGGCTCGCTAGCCGCCCAGGCGATCGGTCACGTCTCTGTCACGCACTGTTGGCAAATACTGGGCATGCACCGGCTCCTGAATGTACCTGAACCCGCTCCAGTGTTACTCAAGTCTTGTCTTGAAAGAGCTCACACTCGGTGCCGTCGCAACACTCTCTGGTAGATTGTTCCAAGAGTTTACAACCCTCACTCCGAAAAAGTTTGCCCTCACGGTTTTCTGGTCTTGCGGCTTCTTCAATCTTGAGCTGTGACCCCTTGTGGGGCGAACGTCCGCCAGCTCCAAGTAAGGACACTCAACTGAGTAGTGCCCCCTGAGATGCTTATACACCTCAACTAGGTCCCCCCTTGCCCGTCTGTAGTATAAGCTAGGCAAGTTCAGGCGCTCCAATCTCTCAGGGTAGCCGAGGTGCCGAAGTGCAGGCACCAGTCTGGTGGCCCTCCTTTGAACATTTTCAACCAACTGACAGTCCCTCGCATATCTCGGGTACCAGACGGGGTGACAGTACTCCAGATGGGGAAGCACTTCACTCCAGAAGATCGTTACGAGGGACGGACCGTCTAGATATCTGAACGACTTTCTTATGAGACCCAATAATTTATTTGCCTGATTTACCTTCTTCTCACAATGGCCCGAGAACTTCAGCTCATTGTCAACATACACACCTAGGTCCTTCTCACACACAGTCTCAACTAGTGCTGTTTCTTCATCCCGTTGGGACATATGATACGCCTCCTTGCCGTTGGTACGCCCCAGGTGCATCCTCTTACACTTCGTGACATTGAATCTTAGCAGCCATTTCTTCGACCATTCCTGGAGCCCACAGAGATCCTTCTGCAGCTCTTCACAGTCCGCTTTGTTCTTAATTTCCCGAAATAACTTGGCGTTATCGGCAAACATTTGTATGGAGGAGTGTACAACGTCAGGCATGTCATTTATGAAACAAACAAACAACAGCGGGCCCAATACACTGCCCTGTCGTACCCCACGTGTTACAGGTACAGATGACGATTTCGTGCCATTAATCACCACACACTGCTTGCGGTCATGTAGAAAGTCTTCTATCCACGCTAGGACATTTCCCCTAATTCCGTACCCTTCCAGTTTGATTTTCAGCCTTTCATGGGGTACACTGTCGAAAGCCTTGGCAAAATCTCGGCAAATATTGTCGATATTACCATCCCGTTCCAGAATATGGGTCCATATATCCAATACCTTGAGCAATTGTGTTAAGCAAGAGCGCCCCGGCATAAAACCGTGTTGGCAATCTTTTACAAGGTTGTTTCGTATTAGATGTTCCATTGCGGCATCTCTGATAATACTCTCAAGTACTTTACATATTATGCTGGTCAGGCTCACCGGTCTATAGTTGTTCGTGGAGTGACGATCGCCCTTCTTGAAGATAGGACTCACATAAGCCACATATACCTTTCATGTAGTTTAGAAAATTTTAAAACACCTTTCTTCTATGACATTTTTGTCGGAAACAAAGTGGCTGGGGCCACTGGGGTCTGGTTAGGTTAAGTTAGATTTTTCCGGTGGTTTTGATGAGTTTCGAAAGGTTATGACCTTCATTTCCGTCGGAAATCACTCGTTTTGGGGAAGGGTAGACTGGTAGAGGTGACGGTATTTCAGAAACGAGTGATTTCTGACGGAAATTAAGGTCATAATCGTTCGAAACTCATCAAAACCATCGGAAAAACATAATTTGTTGCCCTAGTGGAGTGGGGGCAATTAAAAGCAAATATACTGAAAATTCTTACATATACAAGAAAATCTTCCTAAACGTGCCAATTAGCTCCTGCTTGGAATAGAAAATAATCAAAACACCTATTTCACAAAAATTATAATACTAAATAATGTTTCGGAATAACAATATGTTAATGAATTTTGTTTGTCAGGAAAGATGAGCTTAATCGTAGAATTTGATACTGTTTGGGTTATATTAACGTTTTCTTTATTTGTGTCGGGGAGAGAATGTAAGTCAGTTGTAACGTACACTATTGTAGTCCATCGTAGAGTTTGTATTACCAGGGGAGTTCAGAGATAGATAAGTAGATAGACATTTATTCAGTAAAATCGCCATACAAGTTTACTTTTATTCAACATATATATGGACAATAGGGGCAGGGAAAAAACACTTTTATTTGAGTTGCAGGCTGCACTTTTCAGGCATCGTTTGTATGGCTGTAACAAACACCTGTGCAAAATTTCATGCCATTTCATGCATACTTACCCTGCCGCATCGCGAACGACTTTTTGTCAACTTTTAGTGTATACCAAAAATTAGGTGTCATTTAATGTTTTCCAGGATAATGATAAATTTTACATGGGTGACATCGATTTAATTCACATGTTATTTTACAGGTACACCGTATAGAAAATCATTACAAGTTCATATTGAAATTCTTTTTTGTGCGGAACCTTGGCATCATTTTCCTAGACAATAATCTTTGCCTAATATATCCATCTCTCGATTCGTATCCCGTCACTTCAGTGCAAGCTTCAGTCATCACTTTTATGCCTCTCTCGACCGCCTGAGTGCTGTTTGGCCACTTGGGCACCACTAATGGTGTCTCAAGAATGTCATTAACCTGTAGATTTGACAGAGAAGCAATGTAAGGAGGCTCAGTCTTGAGTTCATTCCTCCAGTTAATCATGGAATGATAGTTTTTTGCTTGCCACTTTAGTTTCGGAGTCACCACCTTTCTCATGTTGACTACAGGAGGCACATCCTCATTCCCATCTCCATCTTTACCCTCCTCATCAGTATAGTTTAACAAATTCTCGTCAACAGCAGCATCAGAATCTTCCTCCTCCTCTTCAGATCTGCCAGTGCATTCTTCCTTTTGCTGATTCTCCTCTCTAATTTTTCTTATCATTGAGACAGCTTTTTCTCTAACAGTCATGTCCTCATCTGCACACATACCAAGAAGAAGTTGATCTGTGTGGGCGAAGTATGCATTTCTCTGGACAGCCTTCTTCACTATCGTCTCCTCCTCACTATTCAGGTGTTTCATATATAGCAGGGACTGGAATACGTTCCTTGAGCCGTGTGTTACGTAAGGGTGTATCTTGATGTAAAACCACATTGGAGCACTGAACTTTATTATTGTAATGACAATTCTTTTCAACTCATGGCTGGGTCTTGATGTTGCTACATACAGCCTGAGGATTCTACTCCATAAGGTGTTCCACCTTGACACACAGGGAGGACCTGGCTCAATAGCAGCCAAGTCATCTTCAACAACACCTGTGATAACTCCTTTACAAATCCTATACAGGTATTTCTGATCCCAGGACAGATCTTTCTCCACTTCATCATTAAACACAGGGAAATCAGGGAAACTGACTGGCTGGAAGGCGACAACTGGAAGCTCAGACAAAGACTCCTTGATCTGCTTTCCAATGGGACCACGCCAATGCTCAGGACCACTTGGTTTACCATCATAGTGATAAAAAACTGCGCGGAAAGGCAGCTCATTTCCGTGAAGCTGACATATGAAATAATGGAGCGGGTGACCAAGTAACATTTCAAGATGATGAATGACTCCATTTTCTGATCCTACATTTACATTGGTTCCATCACAACCAACACACACAATGGGCTGCTGGGTTAGATTTTTCTCCACCAGAAACTCGTGAATAGTTTTGGCAATCTGCTTTCCGTGTCCAGTCTTGGGAGTCACATGTGTGAGATATTCATTGCCAGGCTCAACCATGATGACATAATGATCTTTCACCATCATCCTCGAACTCCATTTCTCGGTCTTCTCATTCTTTATCATCACACGAGTGGCGGTCTTCTTACCATCAAAATAGAGTGACGTCAAATTATCTAAACTAGCCATCTCAATTTCTTGCCTCTTAAATCGGTATTTTTGTCTCGCATCCCGCAGCTTATGTGGTCCAATAACCTGACTCTTGTCATCCTTTGTGATAATGCCATAGTCAGTTAAGGTGGCAGTAGCAATGGCAGCTCCAGCATAATCACTAATCAAGTATCGGTCACAAGCGGCAGCCAGTGTAGGGAGTCTTGTCCGGTTCTGTGAACTGGTGTCTGTCAGAGCCCTTGGATCAGGGACAAAATC